AAATATATTTTTCAATTCTTTTACAAACTTAATTCATTATTATATTATTTTTACATCACTAACTAATTAGTCTGCTAGTTTAAAAAAAATTGTCATGGAGTTTGTTAGTAAAAAATTTAGAAATAAGGAAGTAATTGGTTAAGTATTTCAGGAGTTAAATATTTTCTCGGTAATTTAATCTGCTGCAGGCATTCCTGATAAAAATWATTGTTTTTACATTTCATTTCACTATTGTACTACGAGTATAATACTCATTTTTCTTCCTCTTTGAARTTTAATTTTTATATTGGTGATTCATGTAAATAGTTCGCTTTAAGATCAAAGTGCACACAAAAATGGTTTAGGACTGTTTTCTCAAGTGCAGGTATAACATATAAATCTTATTAAGTGTTTTTGTATAYATATACATCTGGTAAATTTCTTTTTTTTTATTGTACTCAAAACAACTAAGGAACATAAAACAATCAATATTAATTTAATATACTGTATACTATTGTTTGTACAATGTTCCAAGTTCAATTCCAGTATTATAAGTAATTATCGCGCCGATACCAACAAAACATTATCATGTAAATATATTTTACATAATATCATCAATATCTTGCATGGAAAATGGAAATACAAATAATATGATACATTTTGTACAGCCCTAATACCAAATAAAGGCATCTTGGTAAGATGAAGATATTAATTGTATACCGAATAATCCAGATACAGGTGTAAATATATCTCATTATACAATGTAATTGAGTTCAACAGGTGTAAGTAGCATCAGCAGTAGAGTTTAAGATTGCCAAGTTGATACTGACGTTAATTAAGTTAGGTACTTAGGTAATTCGAATTAAGTAAAATATGGTTTTTTTATTATCTATGTAATACACGTTTTTAATGTTTAATTTGTTGTCTTATAATCTATTGAAAAAGGGGTCAATGTTATATTTTGTATTATGTGTCGTTTTATAAAAATATAGTAGTAAATAATTCAAGAATAAATATAATAATAAAAAAGTTATGGCACATCAGTGGCGGTTTTTA